TGGTAAAAAGAAGTAACTTTGAAAGAGAAACATTGTTTTTTTTTAAATTTTTAATGCTTTCCCGCATCTATCGTTTTCCCGCATTCATCGTTTTTATTTCCCACCCCCGCCGAAAACGATGCATCGAGGTTTCACTGTATTGTTTGATGGTGGCCAATTATCAAACAATTCATCTTCCTAAATTCATGATTCTAGAAACTGAAGAGATGAGACAATTTCCAGACTTCTTTCACTCTGCAGAATATTCTGTACATTAGAGATATTCAGATTTTTGTTATCACAATATCCCAGGTTGAACCACACTTGCAACTGAGAAGTATGACACACTCTTGGGAGACACTGGTGTTAATATTCATGATTTAGAATTATGGGTGTTGCTTCTAGGTTGCAAAATGATTTAGATCAGGGGTTCTCACCCTTTATCCTTAGTGTACCATTAATTCTAATTTAACACATTAAATGTACCACGAACCAAATGCGTTCAGGGAAAACTTATTTATGTTAATATTATCTTTTGATTTTCTTACTTAGTTCGCGTACTACTCAGCATTGGCTCGCGTACCATAGGTTGAGAAACGCTGATCTAGATGATATTCACGTAGACACATATTGAGTGTCCAGTGTGAAGTATAGCAGGGTTTGCAACTTGTAGCCTGCAGGCCACATGTGGCCCATCACAATTTACAAATTAGCCAATACAAATGGATCAGACCATATTTTAAGGATGAATTTCATCTCTCCATCTATGCTACATGCCCAGCCCATTTCATCTGCCTTGATTTCATCACCCTAATATTTTTTGAAGAGTACAAATTATTTTGAAGCACAGCATCATTAATTTTTCACCAGTTTCCTGTTACTTCATCTCTCTTGGGTCAAAATACTCTTATAAGTACCTATTCTCAAACATACCCAGTTTGTTCTCTTAGGGTGAGAAGCTAAGGTTAATACCCATATAAAATGACAAATTTTATGCTTAAAGATGAGAGATTGGAAGACAAGAGGATTCAGAAGTTAATAATTGAAAGCATTTATCAAATTTGATATGATTTTAATTTCATCATAAGTGTAATTTTCATTTGTTACTGTTATTCCAAAATATTTGTTTTGCCACACTCTTTGAGAATTTATTACCTACAATTTGTCTTTATATTATGATTTTGCCCTGCATTCTTGTGACATAACATGTACAGTTGTTTTGTGTTTATTTATAGACCAGCTTTCTTATTAGCATAGAGATCAATGCCCATGATGTGATATACTCTAAATTGTACACATTTCTAGTCTTGTTCTCTGTGGTAGGCTATTTATGTTTCCACTCAATAAAATAACATCATCAGTACATATCATAATGTGATGAGTCCCTTTCACTTACAGTCCCTCCTGATTCTTTTTTTTTTTTAATGGCATATTCTGAAGTAGAATTGAAGACACAAATTTCATACAGAAAATCTGAAAACATTTATGTGCCATATCAAAACCCCAGCTTGTGATCAAGAAAGTTTAAGTGTTGTATTCAGGGCTTCAGCTCAAGGTGGCAATGCTGGCTAATCCTGTACAAATGGTCAGCAGTAGCAGCTTATAAATTTCACATTTTGCCACCGTATATGGAATTCTGGTGTCACAATTGTGTTAAGTCTGTGTATGTTGTGTATAATGTGTAAAGAACAGAAAGCAAATTAAAAGAATGTATAACTTTTGTTTCTGATCTTAACATTTCTCAATGGGTTGTTAAATATAAGCTTACTACAGGACTGTGGGTAAGTGGGTTTTGTTTCTTCCTTAATATTCCCTTATGCAACAGTTTGTGGCACAGTTGCTGGCTGTAAACCCCTGACTGTAATAAGAAATCCTCAAATAGGAACTGTAAATGTCCCTAATTCATTATAGCATGGACTTCTGAAGGATGGAGTGGCTTTCCTTCCTTATGCCTATCCACAGGTGTGCCAACACCTGTTTTAGGGAGTTAAAATATGAGGCGCGTCCACAAAGTAAGTTTCCCACTCGTCCCACAGCTAGCAAACCTTATATTGCGCGAAGCGACTGTGCGTACGTGATAGAGCAATGACGTAGCAGGCGCATGCACTAACGGCACTTCCCACGTTCTCACAGTAGCATCGTTGCAGCTGTTGAAGATGGAGGTTCTTATTCCAGCTCCCGCCGACTGTGAAGTGCGGTCAGTGATAACGCTAGGCCGCACACGGCTCGACAGACAGCGAGTCTCCTGCAGGAGTTCAGCTGGGAGGTGTTTAATCATCCACCCTACAGCCCGGACCTCGCTCCCAGTGATTTCCATCTTTTCCTACACCTCAAGAAATTCCTGTCCGGTCAGCGTCAGCGTTTTGAGAATGACAGAGAGGCGGAGATGGCTGTCACACAGTGGTTCCAATCCCAGGCGGCAGACTTCTACGACACAGGTATTCAAAAGTTGGTCCCACGGTATGACAAATGTCTCAATTCTGGTGGCGAATATGTTGAAAAATAGCTGGACACTTGCTGTATCTGTTGCAATAAATATTTCCATGAAATTGTGTTTTGTTTCTGTAAACGGCCCCAGGGAAACTTACTTTGTGGACGAGCCTCGTATCTACTTGGAACTTTATTCATGTTGATTTTCCTGTATTACTGTCTGATCAGGATCTGTTTGGAAGATTGTGTGGTGAAGTCGATGGCCAGTGGACCCTGCTGATTACTTGAGGCATAAATATTGATTCTTTCATGTGTGTGAGTGTGGTTTGGGCTTGAGGTTTGGTTTTTACTGTGGTTTTGGAGGCCAACTTTTCAGAGGTCCTTGCTGTCTCCATCATCCTACTTAGTATTTAACAGAACACACCTTTTCTATTTTTTGTTTGCATAGTTTTTAATAACAGAAAAATGTTAGATTTTAATTAATAAACATTTCAAAACTCAAGCACTGTATTATGCTTTAAATGTATCATCAAATATCAAGGCTTAAATACTGGTCCAGACTAATATTAAAACATTTACAATACTCAGAAGTCTTCTCACTATAGAATGGAAAGAGAGAAATCAAAAGAAACTCAAAACATATTTATTATACAGTTTTTATAAATTAACAAGCATAATAATTTCATTACATTCTGAAACCATTTGTTTCTTTTGTGTTCATTTCACAGGTTTCTTTCTTCCACAGTTGCTGGCAATTCTAATTGTTGAGGTTCACTATGGGTTTTAATGTGTGATGGAATGGCAGTTATCTCAACTTTTGTCACCTTCATAGCAACACCTTCTGGCAGGTTGCGCTGGATATATTCAAGGAAGGTGTTGGCTGTTGAGCCAGTCAGGCGCAGAAACTGCATGAAGCGAAAGTATGTACGTATTTCATACTGTACCCGGTGCTTCTTGTAGATATGAACAGACTTGAGCAGTGTGAGGCGCTCATGATTTGCTTTACGAGGTGTCCAGCTGGAACATAACATTGAGGGTTTAAGCTGACACTCATAAAAACAAATATAACTACTAATATTAGTTTCATGACACTCAACAGTCCTTTTATCCTCCATTAAAATATTCTGATGAAGTTTCATATTCAGAATTCAACTTAAATCTGAGCCAAAAACTGTATTTATACTATACTATACTATACAAACAATGAGCAATACATTTTCAGGAGTGTCTGTTTAAATATTCTGTGCCACCTAACCCTGAATGGTTCTAGGATCCATCCAGCCTCCTATCCAATAAGTACTGGGGGTAAATCTACAAGGATAAAGTTGCTAACCATTCACACTCAAATAAATACAGAAAGGTATGTCAGTGTAAGACATGAAACTAGCAGAACTTTAAGGAATGAGAAGAAGTATCTTGAAGATCATATAGGGAGTTGGAAACTAACATCAAAAATAAAAACATCAGAGGGCTGTATAGAGGCATAAATGAATTTAAAAAGGGGTACAAACCTAGGACATATTTTTCTGTTAACACATGGGTGAGTAAACAGATATTTATGCACACAAAGCAATACTCCCTCCATCACTTCAAGTCTTCAATCCAGTAAGACCAGAAAGTATATCCTGGCTACAGTTTAAAGGACCTTTCAAAGTGGTTTGTCCATGATCCATCACTCTGTGACAGGTGTATCATAATCATTGTATGTTTGTGTCGAGTAATTTTGAAATGTGGTAAATATCAAACATGTAGTGATTAGGAGTTTTGTTCTGTATTCAGGAAGTCCTGCTTCAAACCTCAGTCTGGAGATTGATTATCCAGAGACTCTTGTGGTTTTCCTCAATCTCTCCCAGTAGGTATTAGGACAGTATCTTAAAACAAGCCATGATTCTATCATTTCAGATCTGCAATTCATCATTCTAAATCATAGTCTACTTTCCAATCAGATCTGTACAACCTGCACAGTTAAAGCACTTCTAACAAACAAAACAAGACATATATAAAAACATTTTGTCTTAAAATGGGATAATTGTTGTGAAAATAATGGTCACCATTTCTTGATGGGTAAGAACAATGACAATATGCACAACTACCATTCTCCTACTGTGATCCCCAATTCCATTGCAGCTGTTGTTGTAAACCAAGAATAACTCTTTAGTACAGCAGGATCATTTCCTCTAACCTCCACTTCCACCATTCGATACAATTTGTCTAGATCCTCATTCTGAAAGAAAAGATGAAATAATATTATATACATTTTCAGGTATTCTTATATCATCATTGCATTACATGCATTACATGACTTTTTACTATGTGTTTAAAAGTTCTAATAATAGAAACAGAAACCTTATAACACAGGATTGACAAAATTTATTTAACAGTATTGTAGAATAATGTCAGAATAAAAAAGGAATTAATCCCTAGAATGAATATACTAGTACATAGAAGAGTACAAGACAGCTTGGTAACAAAATTCTTTCAGTAACTTTTTGTTGAAGAAAATGTTTTAAACACAGAAATGTTATACAGTTAGTTCTTGCTTGCAGAATTTTATTAGAATCTGAGATTGACATGAAAATGTCTGAAAGAATGATCCAATTGTATGGAATTCCAAAATACTTAATGTTACTTCCCTTGGCCAATTTTAAATCAGTCCCAATAGAACAGATACAGAATGTCAGAAAACTGTAACCCATTATAAACTGTAACCCATTATATAGGTTATGCAGTGATGGAGCATGGGATGTTTCAGTAAATGTAAAGGAATGTGTGTGTGAAAGCAGAGGAATCTGTGGTGACATATTTCGCAATACTACATGCCAGAAGAGAGGAGAACTATGAAACTGTCTTTGTAACCAGTATGAACATGAAATGTAATAGCCATCCTTTAGAAATTACAAAACCAAAACTACTAAACTGGTGGAAACAAATTAGAATATACTGATCACTGTATCGTTACCATGTTTAGTAAGACGTAGAGGATTTCGATTTTCCTACCTGATCAGTTTGACTGGCCAAAGACATATGTCCTTTACAAACATACTGAGGTTTTAGTCCAGTTTCTGCATATTTTAATAAACTTGCAAGAGCTCGGCGATCGGTTTTACAAACCAATTTTGAAACGTCCTGCAAAGAAATACCAAAATCAGAATCAACATTACTTTTCTACCGGAAATTACAGTTGCGAAAATGGGCGCATAACATAACCTCAGAATCGGTACTAAAAAGCAATACGCAACTTAAGATCTACCTACTCGTAATATATTCATTACTTAGAACTAATAAAACGATTTCGGTTACTAGCACGAAAAGGAAATAAAATAAATAACTATTCTGTCTTCACTCTTAAGCGACCAAAGTTACATTCTTTTAAACATTTTCACATCATAATTTTTGCTTGCAATGTTGGTATTATCTGTATGCACGACCTTCGAATTTATCAACGGTACACGAACTTTCCTCGCCAAAAATTATTTCTTCGGTGTAAGTAGGTACGTAGGGGTTCACTTCAACAACCATATAATACAAGGTCAACAACATGAATTTTCCTCAGTATACAAGATTGTCTGTGAAATCGCAACAACTATTTGGTGGGTTATATTTTTTCATGCGTGTAAGTAATTATTGGCGCAGTCGCCAGTTTTTTCGTGAGTGTTACATATGTTGGGGTCCTTGACTAAAGACGATCACGGATCTTTGTCAACCCTAATAGGTAAATGAATGAATCCGTAATACAGTCTGTGCCCTTAAAGTTGCACTGAATAGTATATACATTTTGAGAAAACATGTTAATTGAAAAATATTTTATGCAGAAACTAAAGTCCATAATGAAATGAATATATCAATGAAAAAGAAAATTTGCAGCACACATCGTGTTTTTAAATCAGTATTATTCTCAAGTAATGTGCGACAGTTCAGTAGTATGTAGGGTTTGAAGTTTTCACGGCGGTGAGTCTGAAGCTGTCTTCTGAGTTGTTGCGTCGTATAATCTGGTAGAAGTTTACCGACGTCTCATCACTCTGATGAAGGCAGCAATGACCTCTGAAACATCAGAAAACTTCTACCAAACAACACGGCGCAACATCCCAGAAGACAGTCATCTTCAGTTTAGCAGAAGTAACAAAACGGAAATGTATAAAGTTATTTTATTTTTATACTTTCATGTATGATAAAAATCACCCTATTTAAAACTTGGTTGGCAATCCTGCATGTCTAGCTTTTTTTCTAAAATGACGTCCCATGATACTAATCAACTATTGGTTAATTAATTATAGTAATATTTTTCAAAAATATGCAATAAAGGAACAACTGCAATATTGTATGTTGTTCTCCAAAATTGAGTTGAGCAAAGTAGTGAAAAGTATCGAATATGTGTGGTAATTGACACAAATTAGTTTTCTAGCAACGTAATGTTTGGTGTGGAGGCTACAGTTTCCATGTTGTTCGTTCGTGTAAACCCCCAATTCATATCGATTTTCAAGCGCGCGTTGACGCATGTCCCTTTAGTTGTCTTCCTTGTGTCAGCAACGCGTGTTGGAGCCGGAGAAACTGCTTTTCAGCCTTATTTGTAATAGCTGGACGTCTGTTTAGAGGTAAACGAAACCTAGTAGAAGCGAAGGATTGATTTGCTTGTTTAAGATAGCGTACAGCGAGGATGTAACATGTATGTGGAGTATTTACTGAAAAATGTTGATTTCTTTATCCGCCATTTTAAGAGCGGCAAATGGTGCATAGATGAATGTAGAACTATTGGTTTTTAATTAAAGTTTCGGCCCCAAGGTATGAGACTAAATAGGAAGTCGGATTACGAGGAGAATGGGTGTATTACCTCATATCACGCAGGTACTTCTTTTTTGCATAAAATACGTGCGTGGGTATGATCTTGAAATTGTGATGCCTGGGCGGGGGCCGCTTTTGTTATAGCACAGGACATTTACCAATTTGTATTATTTTTTCGGGAGGTTGGGGTATTCCCAAGTATTAAACTTGAAATGGTTTCATGAACATTGAATTAAGTTTTGTAATCTGCTGCCAAGTTCCTCCAGATTTGATTAAATTTTATTGATGAAACTGTTTTAAATTTTAAGGGCCTCCCCACAATTTTTAATGCTCCATGAGAATCAGATCTTTTGTAACAGTGATGTAGCCATGTGGTTGTGTTCATGCTTGCTGGTGGAGGGCTTATTGTGATATGGTGTTGGGTCAATGAATGTGTGACCTGGTACAGGTTTTCTTTCAATTCTGTATTGGTCTTCTTTTACAAGGCAAGTGAAAAGGGTACAAATTGTCTTCAGCAGCTTCTTGGACACTAAGTGTTTGAACAGGCTGTTGTTGACATTAACTTGTAACCGGATGGACTGTAGTAGGTCCAGTTGATTTGTGGTTTGAACAGTGTCTTACACTGTTTATAGGGCAGCAGCCATAGGGGTTGTAGGACCATGGCTGAACCCTAGGTCAAAGGTATAGTGATTTTTACAACATCAAGACTGCTCAAAAGCAGACAAGAGTCTTAGTTCTTGAGTTCATTAGCAATATTATCCTCAATGAAATTTTGTTTTGCTAATTGAAAACTTTTTTTGTTGGTGCAGATACCCATTTCTCACTCACTTTCTCAGTAATTTCTTTAGGCACTTGATGTTAGGTTTTAAAACAATAGAGCTGATGAAATGTTGAATTTTGTGGAAGGAAAAGAATCTCTGCATTTTTATTTCAGATTGAGAAATGAGTTCAGGATATCAGTTAAGGGGGACTCGTGTATATGTAGGTGGTCTCAGTGATGGAATCAAGAAGGAAGACTTGGAGTCAGAATTTGAGAAATATGGGAAGTTGAACAGTGTATGGGTTGCATTCAATCCCCCTGGCTTTGCCTTCATAGAGTTTGCCAATGAAGATGAAGCAGAAACGGCCTGCGATAATTTGAATGGCTCTGATTTGTTAGGGTCTAAATTGAGAGTGGAGATTTCCCGAGGTCGGCGTGGTGGTGGGAGAAGCTTCCGGGGTAGCCGAGGTGGAGGAAGGGGTTTCTTTCCAAGAGGAGGTGGTAGGGGTGGTTACGGTGGTGATAGGGGAGGTTTCCGTGGGGGCCGCGGTGGAAGGGGGGG